AGAACAACAGATACAGAGTGTTATTATTTTTGTGATTTTGTAATTTGTGTTAGGAATCGAAATATTTGATTTCCTTTTAATTAATCCACCAGATTGTATTATAGTTAAACTTTGTTTGTACTTAAAAATAAATTGTATGCCTTTCAGCATTTTTCTGCCTTAAGCAATCATCCATACAGCACACTTTATTCCAGAGATGTTCCTGCGAGAACGTTCTCAAAACGTTAAGACATTCTCAGGATGTTCTTCAGAACGTCTGTTGGATATTTGTGCTATATGGACAATGCCAGAGCTAATAATTTAGTAAAGAAATCTAAATCGGAGAATACTATTATACTCCATTAAATTATTGCAAACTTATAAAAAATATCTAATAATTTAAAATATTACGTAATAAAGAAAAAGTTTAATAATTTGTTGATGATTTAGTTATATTTAGTCTTATTATATATATACATATAGGTTATCCCTGTACAAGGCTCTCCTTGTTTTATAATATAAAATTTTCCGCGTTCGCAGTCGAAACTTCAATTATATATTTTTACATCACGGCTTTCTATTTCCTAGCTTATTATCATGAAAATTTACTATCTTGTACAAGCAATACAAGGAAGATAGCATTCGACATTTCTTCGAATCGTTCACAATTGCATTAACAAGAATGAAAACAATCGACGGCAATCATTTCACAAGTTTATATCCGGGCGGCAGTGAGTCCAACCTAATCCAATCTAACCTGACCTGACATGGATCTGATTCCACGATCTTTCTCATTCTTCGTCAATTCTTGCTTCGAGCGGGACAACAATTTGGCAACGGGTCAGGCCTACACCGTCCGTTGTCGCGGTAAGACCTTGGAAGGCTCTCGAATCTACCACGCGTAAAGAACGACGCGGAAGAACGATCATCCGATTACGAGGATGTCGCGTGCGCGTCAGCATGGCGCCTTCCCGCGAACGGGGCGGCCCGGCCCGTCGGCCGACTCCCCCCTCCCTCCGCCGTATTCCCCCTCCCCCTCCCCCTCCCTGTTTCGCGCTCCACGCCCTGATAACGAGGCTAACCCGTGCGCTTTTTGCATCCACGCTCGCATACACACAATCGTACCGATTGCCCCGCCCCGCGAGCGCGCGATCAAACGCCATGACGCGTGCGCCTCCACTCGCGGGACTGTATGACGCGCGTTCGAATTACCGCCGCCATACTTTTCCGATGGAAAGCAGCGGCATCGAGACGCGGTCGTGGCGG